AAAAAAAAAAAAAAAAATTCAAAGAAATATTTAATGAGTTGATTCAACACATTGATTTGATTTATTTCATTAAATCTTAAGTCCAATAAAATTAAAAGTATAAGTTTTACAACAAATAGGTGTCGTGTTTCTGAAACGACTAAATTATACTCAGTAAAATGGTAAAGACACCTGTTTGTCCAAATTAGAGACATAAAGAGTAGATATACGTAAGTAGGTATAAATATAGAAATATTATGAGCTTTTTTGGTGTGAGTAAGGAATAAATATTTGAATGTGTAAAAATAAACAAAACAAAAGAATATCTAAGTTTAGTTCAGAAAGTAAACACTGCTTTTGTAATCGAAATAGTACATTGTGTTTGGCATGATAAATATGATTGCAGTAAAAACCAGCAGTATAGTCAATTGCAGGTGCAAGCTTTTGGATATAAAGAGGAGATTGCCTTTGTTTTAGGAAGTAATGCAAAGTGGTGAATGATAAAGAATAATATAGACAGAATAAAAGAAAGAGAGCGGACATTGATTAAAGACATTGTGTGGTGAATTTGAACCCGAACAAACCCAGCGTACAAGAGGAAGGTGTCTTAGCGACGGGAAGCAACTGGTGTGCCAGCAGCAGCAGAGAGTAGCGACTGGCACTCACTAGCTCGCTCGCTCGCCAGCCGGCCAGCTGGAGTCAGAGTCAGTCAGTCAACCAGCAGGCAGAGACAGACAGACGTGTACAAACAGAGAGATCAACGGACAGTAGCACGCACACGACTGCGTGCGAATGAATCTCTGTGCTTTGGGAGTGTTGGTGGTCGTGGTGGTACAACGACCAGATCGTCGGCCGGAAAACGTACCTCCTCGTAGTTGGGCTTGCTGTTAGCATTGCGGGGCCGGTCGGTCCTCGGGGGCGGGGGCTTCCTCGTCGACCAATTGGTGCGAATGCTGCGCGAGCCAAGCCACTGGCCATTCATCGCTGTGATAGCAGCCTCGGCGTCGCTCTTCTTGACGAACGATACAAAGGCATAGCCCTTGCTCTTGAGGGTCTGGGGATCTCGCACGATTCGGCAGTTGCTGATCTCACCAAAGGGCATGAAGGCCTCCTTGAGAGTCTGGGTCTCGATCTCGGGCGACAGATCACCGACAAATATGTGATGATGATTGCTCGTGTCGAGCTTCGGTTGGTTACCGGGACTCGTGGCCCAGTTAACCTTCATCTCCTTGTTCAGGAAGAGACGCTTGTTCATGGCGGCGAGGGCCGTGGCCGCGCACTGGTGGTTCGTGAACTCAACAAATGCGTACGGGTCATTACCCGTTTCGCGTATTATCTTGCAGCCCTTGACCTGACCGATTTGCGAAAAGAGGGCGCACAGCAAATCCTCGGACACGCTTACGTCCAGATTACCGACGTACAGCGTCCGAGGATTGCTCTCCTCGCTGAGGCTCATGGTGGCGGTGGTATTAATGATGGTGGTGTATAACTGCTGCCGCAGTCTACGTACGTATACTAACTTGCTGACTTGGCTTCTCCTTCAAATTGTTACTCACGTTACCCGGCTGTTGTTGTTGTTGCTACTGATACTGATGCTCCGTGTAGGGTTATTATTGATGATGATGATGATGATGCGTCTGCCTCTCTCTCTCGTTATACTTATTCCTTCTCGCGCCAGGTACCTACGATACCTCGACCTAAAGTACCACACACACGAACGATTAACCAGCTGCGCGCACTTCTTACCTCCTCCTCGAGCGAGCTTTCGGTTTCGGTGACTCGCCACACACTCGTCACTCGTCACCTGTTTATTGCTCCTGATTCCTGATCAGTCGCGCATTCGCTCGCTTCCTTCCTTCCTTCCGGCAGCAGAGGAGGAGCCTACTGCGGCAGCTACTATAGAGTGCGGAGCGAGGCACTTACAGAGTCCCCAAAGAGTCCGTTCGTTTGCTTTTTCTCTCTTTTTCTTTTGGTCTACTTAGTATTAATCCTTTATATCTATATACTTTACTTTACAGCCGCGCCGCGTTACCCCGTGCCCGTGTAGGTAGTGGCCCCAGCTTCGCTACGAGGAGTCTCGCCTCGCTGGCTCGCTGCTGCAGTGCTACGGGCTACCGGCCAATATCGCTCTTTCTCTCTCACTTTCTGTTTTCCACATTCACAGTTCACAGTCCAGTTCAGAGTCCAGAGTGTCCAAACAGTCCAGCGCAGAGAGAGAAGGTACTAGGTATAGGTATAAGGTTGTAGAAGCGCAGAATGCGTGTGCATGTGTCGCCACTGTCGCCAAAATCGCCACCAGCCACCACGAGTGTATACCTACCTACTCTTACTACGAATTTTCCACCATCACAATGTACTTACTTAATAGGTATCAGGTATGTGGCTGTGGCATATATATTATGTATTACATAGATGCGTAGGTATAGTATACTCTCCTTCACTTGCAATTACAATCTACTTACAATGCTGGGATTGTATTTTATTGCTGGGCTATGAGCATGCTACTAGCGTCAGTATGAGCGTCAGCATAATTCAAGTTAAGTATGGATACAAATATAAAGTATATACATGGAAGAATACAGCTCCTTCTGGGCCGATTGCCGAGTACCGACTACTTATTATCTCCTCTCCGAACTTCGCTAATTGTAAATACAACCTATAGATACTGATTTTTCATGCGTTTTGTATTTACATACTACGTGTAAGGGTGCCTGTACATGGGCGTCTTAATGTCTTAAGACTGTAAGCCACACCTATGGCGGGTGATTCATTCAAACTGATGTTAACTGAATACCGATATAATTTGTTTTAAAGAAGAAAATAGACACTTTATTCATCATAAAACTATGTAACCTGATTACATTATAACTTTAGAACGTTTTTTAAGGCATCAAATGAAAAGTTTCTACAATTCATGTTAATACAATAATTTTGTCAACATAACCTCTCTTTTTAACGACTCAGCGTTAACAAAATTTTTTTTAGTTTTGGTGGCTAAATATCTTTCCAATATTATAATGCAATCACGTAACATAGTTTGGTTATGAACAGGATGCCTATTATCTTGTTTAAAACAAATTATATCAATATTCAGTTAACGTCAGTTTGAATTGAATCACCCGCCATAGGTTTGGCTTACAGTCTTAGGGTGCCTGTACATGGGCGTCTTACAGTCTTAAGCCTGTAAGCCACACCTATGGCGGTTGATTTAATTCAAACTGATGTTAACTGATTACCGATATAAAATGATTTAAACAAGGAAATAGATACTTTATTCATGATAAAACTATGTAACGTGATTACATGATAAGGTTAGAACGTCTTTAAGGCATCCAATGAAAAATTTCTACAATTCATGTTAATACAATAATTTTGTCAACATAACCTCTCTATTTAACGACTCAGCGTTAGCAAAATTTTTTAAAGTTTTGGTGGCTAAATATCTTTCCAATATTATAATGCAATCACGTAACATAGTTTTGTTACGAACAGGACGCCTATTATCTTGTTTAAAACAATTTATATCAATATTCAGTTAACATCAGTTCGAATTGAATCACCCGCCATAGGTTTGGCTCACAGTCTTAAGACTGTAAGACGCCCATGTACAGGCACCCTTAAGACATTCAGACGCCCATGTACAGGCTCCCTCAAGACATTAAGACGCCCATGTACAGGCACCCTAAGTATGTTACCATAAAGATATTATACGTAATGTAGAAAATGAATGTAAATGGTTGAAGCAAGGGACAGCAAATGTCTCATTCCAAATCCTAAAGAGAGAATCCACTTTTGAGTATATAAGCACACCCTAATTCGGATAAATATGTAAATGTTGAGTTTCTCAACCTATTTCAAATGTGTTGTAAAGTTGCACTAATATAGGCTTTATTTTAACTGTAACGTGTAACCTCGCATTCGCACCTCTACCGTCTCTGACTTTCAAAGTAAACCGCAACTGGTCGAGAGGATTTTTTATTTTGTGCGTGCGTGCGCGTCTCTTCGGTTCGGCGGGTTCGGCGGACGACGATTTCATGCCGCGTTTGAAAGTTTTGTTTTGATAAGTATATATTATGTACTTACAGTAAACATCTATATGAGTGATGGGATGATAATTATAAATCAACAGTTTGGATACAACTTTTAAAATAATTATGAACTTGTATTTAAAAGTTCATAATTATTATATCAGATGATTATTATTATAATTTAACGTGCCCATGCATATTAATATAAAAAATTACCGTTCATCCGAAATTGCAAAGAATTTTTTATTGTTTATGGATTAGGTACTCTGAATTGTTTCCTCAACCTATTAAATTTTTTGTATTTATTTTTTTTTTTAATTGAGAATAAAGTTTTAATAATTTAAAAAATAATTCAAAAATCAAAGAATCAGTACATACACATACCATTCGTTTCGCAGTCCGCTTTTTGTACGAGCGCTCGGCGCGCGAAATCGAACACAACATTAGTTTTCATGAAATATTTTACAGAAGTGTGAAATTGTAACATGGTTTTCGCAGATTTCCCGTAATTGCTAATATTGCCAAATGCCTGCGTAAAAAATTGGTAAAAAAATTAGTTCAATCGCAATCCGTGAAGTTATTGTAATTTGTAATATCTATTTGTTGTTTTGTGTTGTGCGATTTAGCGCTTCGACATATAATATTTATGTCGAGTATACTGAGATCGGAGCGAATGTTCGATCACTTAATGACCATCATCGTATTTATCGTTAGGTTGGTTCAGTCGTTCTACTATTCCTACTATGTTGTAGTTCCGCTCTATTACAGTGCTGCTTTTACATAAACATTTAAGATACTTACCCTAAAGTGGCGATTATAGAATACACCCACAGAAACGGAATAGTAAACCGAAGGAACAGTGGAATGTAGGTATAACCTAACGACACAGGAACGGTAGAATGGTATAACCCCGTGATCCAATAAAACAGGGACGGTGGAATGGTACAACCCCATAACTCTATAACACAGGAACATTGGAATAGTATGACCCCACATGACCCAATAAAACAGGAACGGTGGAATGGTATAACCCAGGAACCCAACAAATGGGAACATTGGATTGGTATAATATATACAGGGTGTATTCCGCAATCTCACCAGTAGAAAATCAGACGACGTTGGTCTTTGTTTTGTTTATATGGTTGACACATTATTGCGTTAAATCATCAAAATCCATACATTTTTTACAGAAAATTAAATCTACCGCGAATGGTACGATAAGCAGTATATTTAAGCTACTGCGGGGAGCTGCAACTATGACTCGAATGATTAATTTTTTAAATTTCCCGCAAGTGGGGAAAGAGAGAAAAAAGCTAGGGTGAGTTTTTTTTACGTTCGGTCAAAATCTCTAATCTCTATGCGTTCGGTCGGTCGGTCGATTTCTCGAGGAAGTTTATCGCCACACTCACCACATGTGTATGTAGATTATTAGGATCTGATTAGCATGAATTGATTCGTTCAATTTGAATTATTTTTTAAGTTGATAAAAATTAATTCTCAATTGACAATCAAATTAAAAAATAAAATTATAAAGTAAAAAAAAACGCATCCAAAATTTGCACCCATCTCTTCATTTATGAACTCGATTCGAGTTCCTCTCGAATTACTCGAAAGAGTCGAAGTGTTAAAAGTTAGTTAGAGTAATGTCATCTTATACTTGTGCAGTGTGCAGTGCAGTTTGCAGTCTGCACACTGCATGGTGCATATTATGAGTAGATATTTAACACGATGTAGTTAATACAGGTTGTGTAATTTTTTAATTATAAATAAATTGGCTGTAATTAATAAATATTCTAGTTATAATAATGTAAAGCTGTTTCATGCAATTTCATTAGACTCAACATTTTGTAAGTACTACACGATTGCATGAAAAAAGTATATCTTGTACAAAGTTCAGGTTAAGCGTGGGAGGCTTGTCAACATTTGAGTGAGAGTTATACAGAGAAGTATTGATGTGTCCAAGTATTTTTGGGAAAAATTGACATCCAGCACAGAGTCACAAATTGACGACGAGTTGTTGAATTTTTTCGACAACTCGATCGCTGAAACATGAGGACCTAATATTTGTTTGTCAAAATGTCGAGCGAAGAGTCCTATCAAGACCGACAAAATAGCGAGCTCGAGGTTTTAAAAGTAAGCATTACTTGTGATCGATTTTTCTACAATTTTTTTATTTTAGACAACTGTTTTATTTTATTTATCCGTATTTAATATCATCTTACTTTTTTGAACAGTCTATCTTTGTCAATGAACTACGTGATCTGCGCAAAAGTAAGCAAAAAAAGAAATGGCAACCTTTACACATCTCCATCACTCTTACTCCTCAGAAAAGCATGTCTGGACCAGCAGAAATTTATACAAAAGTAGACTTGCACGTTACCTGCAACGAAAAATACCCTGAAGAGTAAGCATTTTTTTATTCTTTCAAATTAACGCTATATGTCACATACGTTCCTATCTACAGAGCACCCCAAATTTGCTTGGAAAATGGTGAAGGTTTGTCCAATCAACAATTGGCAACAGAACTTTCAGAACTTGAAGCTTTGGCTAGAGACAGCATCGGGGAAGTCATGATTTATGAGCTGTGTCAGCATGTTCAGAGATTTCTCCATGAACACAACAACAAGCCGAGGTATAGCAGCTTTTACGAAGAAATGGTTTCAAAACAGCAAGAAAGAATCAAATTTGAAATGCAAGAGAAACAGATGAAAGAAGACAAAGAGAGACGTGTCTTACAAGATGAAATTTCCAAAAGGCAAGAAGCATTTAAGGAAATTCAAATGCATAATCGGCGTGAATTAACTCGTTTTTCGTTTGATACTGATCTCAATTTTCTAAGATCCACAACAATTTCGTCTCAAGAAAGATTTAGGGCTTTTTCCAGAAAAAGATGCGTGAGTACATCCGAGAGCTCAGAGGGTTCTTTATGTGAGCATAGAGGAACCAAACTCTTACACTTTGATAACAATAAGAGAGAAAGACAAGTTAATAGAGGCAAGTGCTTAGGACACAGTAAAAGAGGAGGATCGATTTGCTATGCTGGAGTCGATTGTATTTCTGGAGAGTTACTAGCTGTGACAGAGTGGACACTCAAGTGTGCAACATCTGGTCATGATAATAGTGATGTCAACAATTTACAAAATCTAATAAAGCAGATAGCAGGAATTGAACAAGAACTCAATCATTTGTATAAACTACAACACATGAATCTTGTTCATTTTCTAAACATGAAGTATTTGCAGGATAAAGATAACATTATAGTTTATATTTTGCAAGAATTTGTTGTGAGTTTCATTAATATACTTATTTCTTATAATATAATATTATTTTTAAGAATCTATGGCCATAACAAATAAAATGTGCAATATATATATGTATTTTTTTTTTAGTTTGGAACAAGCTGTTCATATTATCTGAAAGAAAACATTCCAGTTGATAAGGATATGCTGAAACATTTAGCAGTTGGAATTCTGTCCGCCCTTCAGTACCTGCACGAAAACAATGTTGTCCACAAAGACCTTCGAGATACCAATGTTTACATTGATAGAGCAGGACTCGTTAGGCTTGCCAATTATTCACTTGAAAAACGCTTGTCAGATTTATACCAAGCATGTTGTTTGTCCAAAGTTGAACATGATATCACGTCCCAAGGTAGAAGCGGTAAAAAAGGCGATATTCATAAGTTTGGTATTCTTTTGTTGTCCTTGGCAAAGGGTTCAATTTTCACCGAAGATGATTTGGCAGGCGACACGACGTGTTGTAATGACCTCCAGGTAACGGGTAATGAAAATACTAAATTCGTTCCCTTTGCTAAAATAATTATTTTCGTATGTTTCAGCCGGATTTAAAAGACTTTATATTAAAGTGCCTTGTAAACGATGATAGATCACGTTGGTCAGCAGAGCAACTCCTGCAACACTGCTTTATTCAAACGCCACTCGAGCGGGGCTTACCTACTCCAAGACTGAACGGCAGCAAAGAGCAAAATTGTATAGAGCCAGAAGAAGAGCCCGACGACAGCGATATACCTTTCGATCTATCAGCTTTTGGTGGCCAGTCGCGTCTGAAAAACGAGTTCGAAGTACTTAAGTGGTTGGGAAACGGAGCCTTTGGTGACGTGTTGAAAGTTAGAAATAAACTGGATGGCGGGTTGTACGCCTTGAAGAGAATCAAATTAAATCCAAAAAATAAGCAGCTGAATAAAAAGATGACGCGCGAGGTAAAACTATTATCCAGATTGAATCACGAGAACGTTGTTCGGTATTATAATTCCTGGATTGAAAGTGCAACCCTTGATGATTCGACATACAACGCATTTATGCCTTCTGCAACGCCATCAATAAAAGTCACCTCGACCATTAAAGATAGAGGAGTTTTAAGTAATGATAACGTAAGACATTTTAATATTTTACGTAACTGATGGTCAATTCTTTTTTATTATAGAAAATTCCTTTTATTGCTATTTGCTTTTATAATAGTAATATATTTATTTTTATTATTATTATTACTACTAAATATTACTACCATCGTTACTAGAACTTTGGAAGTGAAAATATTGAAAAATTAGCTCCACCCATGCACGAGGTTGAATGGAATGTTTCATATAATTCCCGAGCTAGTGTAGCTGCTGATGATAGCGAAGAAGATAATAGTGATCAGTGTGATGATGATTCCGACAGCGATATAGATTGGAAATATCCGTAAGAGCAAATTAAAACGCCTTAATAATGTATTATTCACTTTAATATAAAGAATAGCAAACAAAACACTTCACTTTTATTTTATTACCTTCATTTAGCGCAGCAACAAAAACGTGCACCGACGAATCTGACAGTATAGAATTTGCAGAAAGTGAAAAATCGCAAACATCTAACTCATGCTCTGCTCGTGATACTCCAGATGGAGTCAGAGGACCAAAAGCCAAAAAAGAAATTCAGTTTATGTATTTACAAATGGAGTTTTGTGAAAAAAGTACTTTAAGAACTGCCATTGACAATGGTCTTTATAAAGATGGGGAAAGAATTTGGCGCTTATTTCGAGAAATCGTCGAAGGTCTGTCGCACATACATCAAAAGGGTATGATTCACCGAGATCTAAAACCTGTCAATATATTTTTGGACAGCAACGATCACGTGAAAATTGGAGATTTTGGTTTGGCAACGACAAATATTCTTCCAAGCTTACCGCACAGTATTGAAAAAGAATCTCAAGTTGACAAAGGTATTTAATGGAATTTCATAAATATAATTAATCATGTAAATAGATGTACACAATTTGATTGATTTATGTAACAGGTTTAGGCTCTGAAAAAGACTATTCAGAATCGTTAACTGGGCAAGTTGGGACAGCTTTGTATGTTGCTCCGGAATTGTCTACGCAAGCAGTGAAAGCTATATACAACCAGAAAGTAGATATTTATAGTTTAGGAATTATTTTTTTTGAAATGTGCTACAAGCCTCTCAAAACTGGCATGGAGCGCGTTAAAATAATTTTAAACATTAGATCTAAAGAGATTCTTTTGCCTCCCGAGTTCAATGAGACAAACACTAAACATCTTTTATGGTAATATGCAATCTCAACTAAGAACTAGTTCATAAATAAATTTCGTTTCTTGTTCATCATACATTTATTAATCAATTGATTGATTTATTTATGATAGCTGGTTGTTGAATCACGATCCAAGCCAACGACCATCAGCTAATGAATTATTGGCATCCGAGTTTTTACCACCACCCCAGCTGGAAGAGGCAGAATTACAAGAAATGGTTCGTCATACTCTGTCTGATGCTCAGAGCAAGGCTTACAAGTATCTCGTGAGTTGTTGTTTTTCACAACAAGAAGCAACACCAGCTGAAGACATGACGTATGACATGCCATTTTCAGTTAAGAAAATTGGCCTACAAAAGGCACCATTTACTCAGGAATATGTCAAGACAAAAGTCATCAAAGTATTTCAGAGACATGGCGGGCAGTGCATCGTGACTCCTCTACTCATGCCGAAATCTGGTCTCTCCATTTTACCAGATAGTTGCGTTCAACTGATGACTCGCACAGGTAGTATCGTCTCCATACCATACGACTTGCGTGCACCTTTTGCAAGATACGTAGCGTGGAATTCTATTAGGAAAATAAGAAGATACGCTATCGAGAGGGTATACAGAGAAAATAAGGTATGTTGCGTGTCATTTGTAAAAAAAAAAAAAAAAAAAAAAAAAAAAAAAAAAGATGGAATTGTAAAACTTATACCTTCTTAGTTATGAGTATTTATTGAATACATTTTTTTTTTCAGAACCACAATCCAAATCAGGCTCACATTGGATTTCATCCACGAGAGTTATACGAGGGTGCCTTCGACATTATTAGTCCTCTAGTGACATTGAATGCCGAAGCAGAACTTATTGCTATAGTCTGGGAAATATATAATGAGTTCCCTGAGCTGCAGAACCGATCTTACACTATCCGCATTAATCACTCCTTGCTGCTTCAAGCCATCCTAATGGCTTGTGGTATTGAGCGCGAGAAATTTCAAGACATATACTCGATTCTGCGTGATGCGCGCAAATTGAAACCTCTACAGATTGAAACTCACTTGACGAGTTTATGTTTAACTGAGCAAGCTATGAGTATGCTTTTTAAGCTATTTGATACTGAATTTTCAATATCGGCACTCCCTGATGACCTTAAATTTATCACGAGGAGGAAAGGCGAAATAGCAGCTTTGGCAAAGCAAGGTCTCAAAGATATCGAAACGGTCATCAGTTTTGCAGAGAGTTTGGGGGTGAAGGTAATTTATTCCCATACGTACACGTAGCGATTGAATAGAAAAATAACATTTTAACAAATGAACATTTTTTATTCTTTTCCTGTAAATCTATTATTATATTTTTTTTCTTATCTAAAATTAACGAAAAAGTTTTAAGCAGCGATTTTACAAAAATGTTTTTAAAAAAATAAAATTTTCATAGCTTGTTTGCAACGAATTCTCTGACGAAAAACGAGATTTGTGCTGGAAACTTAAAATGATTTTAGAATTTTGTAATTTGATGGATGATAATCTTAGTTTAAAGTTACAAAGGAGCGATTTTGCTAGTAGGTACTGAAAAAATTCATTCTAGTTATTTTAATGTGAACCATACGGTTTCAGTGGCCAGTTGTAGTGACACCGCTATTTGTACTCAATATCGAACAGTATAGCGGAATATTTTTCCAAATAACATATGAAAATAAAAAACGCAAGCGAATCAGTCAAGACGTTATTGCAGCCGGTGGAAGGTAGGATTTAAGTCATTATTATCATCATCATAAATGTTTCTATTTGAAACATCTTTTTTTAATTAATTGATCTGATTACTAACCACCGTGTCATACCGATTCATTGTTTTTATGCACTTTTATTTTGTGCGTGAAAACATTTATTGGAATAGTTGGACAGAAATTGACGATTGGAGATTTATTCATGCTTTTTTTAAAAAATGATCAAATTTTTTAATTGTTTCAGATATGACAAAATTCTCTCGTCATTTCGTCAATTTTTGCAGCGCACGGGTATAATGAACCACGCTGAACAGTTTGGTGTTGGAATCAGTATTTCATTGGACAAATTAGTTTTGGCAATAGGCGAACTGTCCAACGAGTTTATTCACGAGAATAAAGTTGCTATTGACGTGGGAGTCTGCTGCGTGGACGGGGAGCCCCAGCGAAATAAAAAAGAATTGGGTGATATTTTTCGAGAATTGTGGGCACTTAATCTCAAAGTCGATTTAATTGAATTCACAGTTTTCGAGGAAATAATGGAGTACTGCCAAGAGAATAATATTAACCACGTTGTTATGTTGAAAAACGGAGAAAGGGGCTCATTAAGGATACTAACCTGGGAACGTGATAGATTCCAGGAGCGGAAAATCAATACCAAGGTAAATTGAAAAAAAAAATCTAAAATCTTCAACTCCACGCAAGCTTATTGTTAATTTGAAAATTTAGGAATTATCAGACTACTTTCGTCAGACTGAAAATACTACGACCGCCATATTAAACAGATCTGACAGCAAACCAAATCCCAATAACGATTCAAGTGTTTCGTCTAACCCGTCAAGCGAAAAAATTGCAATAAACTTTATCCTTACTGACAAGGAAAAGTTATCTGCTGGCAGCAAAAGAAATTACAAGAACGCCATGCTTGCACAAATGTCACCGTTCTTCGATTGGTGTGGATATAAAAATCCATTTGAACTGTTTGGTGTTTCCTTAGATATGTCTGTTATTAGATTATTTAGCTCCTATCTAGAGTTAAATGAGGATGAGCAGGACTTTCAAAAAAGTCTTCAAGAGCTGATTGCGGACTCGTAAGTGAATTTTATTATTGTAGATAAAAAGTAAATAGTGTAACAAATAGATTACAAGTTGAATTTTTTTTTTTTACTTTTGTAGAAAGTTACGTGCATCACTCAAAAAATATGTTATAGAGATCTGCGAAAACCTTTGGGGAACTGTGAAGGCTTATGCAAAGGAGCACAAGCCACGTCCAATTATAATTTTATACAGTTTATGCGACAGTCGATACAAGAGAATTGATTAAATGTACAAAAATTATTGATAATAATATACACGTCTATTTTTACATTAATAAAAAAATTTTTTTACATACAAAAATTTATCTTGTTTATTTTTACGAACAATCTTTTGGATGTTATTACTGTTTCTTAAATTAAGTATAGAATTGAAAAAAAAATTTTACTACACGACAGTAAAAAGAAAAACGTGTCATAAAGATTACAATTTCTTCGGCGGTAGCGTCGAAATAGAGAAATATCGTTCGTCTTCTTCGAGTTTGATTTTTTTCAATGCTGCACGTAGTTAAATTACAACGATGGTAGTATACTAACGTAAGAATTTGTAAGATTACTAGTCCGTGATATTATTTTACGTCGTTACCCATGTATATTTTTACAAGTGGATTCGTATTTCTACGATTGTATATTTTACAGTGTGGTGGCGATTATGGAATACATCCACAGAAACGGAACAGTATAACGAAGGAACGGCGAAATGTCGGTATAACGTAATGACACAGGAACGTTGGAATGGTATAACCCTACATGACCCAATAAAACAGGGACGGTGGAATGGTACAACCCAATAAAACAGGAACGCCGGAATGGTACAATACAATACATTACAGGGTGTATTCCGCAATCTCACCAGTAGAAAAGCAGATGACGTTGGTCTTTGTTTTGTTAATATGATCAGAAAAAGTCACGAAAAAGAGCGAGGAGAGACTGATGTCTGCTTTTCTATGTGGTGAGATTGTGGAACACATTACCAGTAAATTGAAAGTAGCGCCCCCCCTACCACGCAACATTGATTGTGTAACTGGCTGGCGGCGATTACGGAATAGGTACACCCATCGATATCGGCTTACGTTAAGTTGAATTGAATTTTCTGGCTGACAGTGAAATTTCAACTTTTGATAAGCTTACTGACTGAAACCTTGACGAAAATCGTTTAATGATTGTTTCAATTTTGATTGGTGCGGGATGGCTTGTGTGTGTATTGGGGGCTCGGGGCTCGGGGCTCGGGTAGTCGGGTTCGGGCCGTTCTGGGCTCTGTTTTTCTACACTCTACTTAACATCTACACCATGAACGCGCCTTAAAAGTTGGAAGGAGAGGGGATATATGACGTTTCGAAACAAACATTGATAAGATGTATATAGCTTCATTAATGAAGTGTCGTCATTGTTGTCTGTTGTGTTGCAACTGTTACAAGTTACAAGTTCTAATACTGCAATTTCGTTGACTGTTTGTCACAAGCTGCGAGAGAGAAAATTGAGATCAGCTAACGTAAAGATAATTCTTATACGTTAAATTAGCTAATGGATGGGTGGTACCATCCTGCAATGCTCGCTTTAAAAAAAATATATTGCGAAGCAGCATGGCTAAGGATTATCCGCAGTTCCTGGAAATTGAAAGGTGTGTTTGCTCGAGGTTGTGGTACACGACTTTGGTCACTCTCAACACCGAGATTGAAACGTGCCACTCAGCAAACTACGATTGCGATGATATCGAGCACCTAAAGCATCTAATCGACACAAATCTGTTAGTACATTTTCATTTTATTTTTTTAAGCTCACCTCAATGAGTGGTCTTTTTTATTAATTTCACACGCATTTATTTATTATCTCTTAATCTTTGCATTGAGTGTACTCTCTTTTTTTTCATAGTTTTTGTGTTTCGGTACAAAACCAGAGCATACACAGCAAGTATTTTTAAACACATCAGAGCATCAGTGATTCATTTTGCTTTTTTTTCTTGGTTTTAGACAAATATACAATGATAAACAGCAGTACGAGTGGATTAGTCAGAAATTAATACTAGGACTAGATGATTCCCTGGAAACCAAAGAAAATTTAAAAACTATTCAATTTCATTCCAATTTACTTTTAATCAATGATTCAATTCCAGAAGATATAGAAAAGGTATGTTCAAAATTATCAAGATCATTCATTAATTAATTGCCTCTTATACTTTTATTTAATATTGTGTAAAGAAAATGAAGTTTTACTTTAATTTTGATAAAATTTTGTTACAAGACCTGACAATTTTAAAATGTGAACATTTAAGTAAAATCGTTATTTTTAACATTTTTTGATTCAGGAACTGTTGGAGCTTTTTAGAGCAATTTTACGTGCCAAACAGGAAGATACTGATTCTGAAAAAGAAATTTCTTTACCTTCATCACTATTTTTGGAAACTAATTTGTGCATTAGTCCAGCATTGACTTGTTGGCTTTTCAATGATTTATTTCATGTGTGGCCTATACTATCAGATCTAGTTTTGCAAAATATTCATGCAAACGCTATAAAAAGAATAGTTAAGAAAGAAAATATTAACAACACTTTAGGAACATTTCTCTGTATTTTATCAAAATTAAATATCAGGGAATCTGAGGAAGATAAGTGGTTGAATTGGCTGTATCCTCGCGTATTTGATATTTGTAGTTTCCATGATGTAGAGTTGGCACTTTATTCTAGAAAAAATGCAAAATTCTTGAAAGAGTGGCACAAATTTGTAGACAGCAAATATTTTAGATCATTGCCTGCCCATGACGTAATCCATGCTAAAAAAATTAGCCACCTGATGTTGTTTAATCATAATAGCGATTTTATGAAACCTCAACCATCTGCCAAAGAATTTGCTTTAAGAGTAATCAAACGAAACGTTCATTGGCTATATGATATTTTGGTGAGTTTTTTGCTACTGCAGTAATAACAATAAATTTTGTCAACAGTTTTAATTTTATAACTTTGTTCTTTGGAAACAGGAAATCAACACAGCTTTCTTGAATAACGGACAATATGACGAAATTGGCAAAATCATGTCTTGTCCACTGCTACGACATATTTGGCCCGTGACATTGTTTTATTTTTTGGATAATTTACCTGACGTGAGAATCACGGCCGAAGAGGAAACGTGGCAAACAAGTTTTAGCCTGTGCGAGTCTCTAAAGTTTTTGTTAAACAAGTGCAGCCACAGCCAATACGAGTACCAGCCGATTCTCGTAAATCTCACCGAGTGCTTGAACAGCCAGGTAGCCGTGATCAAATGGATTTTAGAAGGCAGGAGAAAATGCACGTCCGTCACCTTGGATCAGAGCTTATCAGTAAAGCGTATACTAGACAGATTGCAAGACCAAAGTATACTAGGCGTGATTAAAAAATTTATGGACATCCACGAGTGCGATGACAATGAGATAACGAGTCTTGTGAACGGTAAGGATGAAGCCGTCAAAGTATTCAGGGCATACAAAATCATGCAGACCGCCCTCAAAGCCGTGCTCGCCAACGAAGCGAGCGACGAGACAGCACCGCACTACTTTGCCCTGCTGGAATCATCTTTGAACGCGTTAGATCCGCTGAGCTTTAGACTAGAGCTTGTCGAGAACGTAAGTTTTTTGTAAGACAATGTTAATATTAGATGTTTAACATTTAAAGTCGGATGTTTGATTAAAGGTATTTTCGATGCTGTTCCTGCGACACGACGCGCACTTCCACGCGACGGACAACAGTCTGGAGGAGGACGGCTACGAGAGCAGCAGCTCGGGCTGCGAGAGCCGCGAACCAGATACACCTGAGCGGCACGGCTTCGTTTGTAGCGTGGGCTCGGTCAAGTGTCTGCTAGATCATCTGAAGCGCTGCCTCGCGCAGCTGGGGATCGACTTTGCCAAGCTGAGACGCGAGCTCGGCTCGGACGGCGAGTTCGAGCTGCTGCATCAACGCATCGTCCGCATGGACGTAATTCTGGCTGACGCAGCTTGGCGTCTCGAATTGCTCACCCGTCACGAGTCCGGGGATGCGGACGCGCGATTGCTCGTCGTCGACAGGCCGAGCTTTTCATACGGGTTGGCTGGCCAAGCTTTGTTTTACAACGATCCGAGTGCCAGCTCGGACGAGGAGAGCAGGTCCGAAGAGTTGGAAGCCTCGTCCGAGGCCAGTAGCTCAACCGACAATACGAGCAAGCGTGGCAGTAAAAAACGGAGCAAAGCTCACGCGAGCGCCACGACCACGCCGAGCAACGAGACTTCCGTCGATTCCAAGCTCGTTGTCAACTTTATGCTGGCGTCGAAAGAAAGCTTTGTCCTTCAGTGCCTCTGGAAAGCCGATCACGCGAGAGCTCAGCAAGTCATCGAGGTATAGGCTTTGGAACACATTTTTTTTAATACCTTTGCGTGTTTATCAAAGATCTCTCATTGCGCTTTCAAGCCGCTCGTAGGCATCTTTTTCAAATATTGTCGGTTTGTACTTCAAAGTTTCGGCCGACTTTTTAGTTCTGTCTATTAAAACTCCCGGTGGATTTTCGACCAAGTATTTTTTTTCTTTAATGATAATTTTACTCGGGAAGCAAAATTTGCAGCGAAAGCAACAGCAACACCAGCCTGAAATTCAAAATTTGGAATATTGTCGCTTGGCTGAGTTATTGCTATGTGCGTGGAAATATGTGTATTGAAACTTTGATCAAATGGGTTGTGTTAAACCTTTGTGGCACCAGCAGGGAATTGCAAAAAAAGCGTAGACGCACAGCCAGAATTTGACGATTTTCCAAATCTTTCCGGTCGCTCGACTGGCTATCGCGCACTCGAGAGCTTGAAATCCGTACTTGAAACCCTCGAACGTGGAACAGTTGCGCGGTTTTTTCAAGTCTAGAGCATTTTTCACGATGTTCTTCAGCGACTTGTGTATCTCGTCGTCCGTGAAATTAAACGTGAAATTGTCCGGCTTGACGTCATTGTGAATTTCAACGCCGTACTCGGGCACAATTTTCTCAAAACCATCACCGTCACCTGTACTTTCAGGCTGCGCGGGATTACTCGTGAGCTTCCCCGGTACGTCGGCGACCGTACTTTTTGCACGAGTTTCCCCGAAATTTGTCGACCTCGTCTCATGTACAGTTAGCTCGCGTCGCCTAATACTGTGCACCAGTGCCGGTGTCACTCGGTAAGACGATAGATATCCATGCCCGTCGTAATCTCTGTACTCTTTAGCCGTGACTTTCGTTGAATCGGCTAACGTTGCAATCGTCGCCTGCGTTGTTTTTCTCCGTAATCTTCTGTGCCGACGACGGATTCCCACTGGCTGTTCGGTCGCGGTCGGTGAATCTCCGAAAAAATCAATTTTCGCCGTTTCGACGGCTCCCATCTCAACGGTACCCGTGTCCGCCGTTGCCTCGTGTGCACCACCACTTGATATTAATTTTAACTGTCGGGATCGGAAAACGTTTTCAGCCAACGTTTCTGCGCTGAAATACTTTTATACGTGTGTACAACCATCACTACTTACTCTTGAATTATTATTATTATTATTATTTTTTTTTTTTTTGAGAGAAGAAAAAAATATATCGATACGCTTTTTTAGTATTGTGAAAATCATCGATTCTGATGGTACACAACTTGACTTAAAGTACCATTTATTATATGTACCTACAATGTGTCCAAAAACAAGAGAAAAAAAAGCACCTTGGCTTCAAACACTCACACACCGTTCGGGACTTTGTTTGCCGATTCCAGCGTCCGTTGATTCGTCGATCGCGCTACGTAGGCATGAAGCGGTCCGTACTTCGTCTCGTCCTCCACGAGGATCTCGATGCCCAACGACTCGGGCTGAATCATCTCGTGTTCGTTGACGTTGTTTTCCGCATCCGCGTCGTCCAACGCAACAACCCAAGTCCCGCGATCCTGCGGCAAGCGATGCCATGAAAATTAAAGTATACACCCATCGCGCGCTATTTCTCGCCCTTCGTTTCAACTTACAGCCGACGAGCTTTTTTCACTTTCATCATGAAATAATGAAAAACTCGATGCGGTAGTCAGTGCTAATAAAATAACTAGCACCAACAAGCTGCATTTCAGAGCCATTTTGTCACGGGAATATATGAATATGATTTTTTTTTTTTGTTGTTGTTGAAAAATACAAGTTATCCGACCGTGAACTTGGTTGCAGATGTTTGACATGAAGGGCACCCAATTGGACGGTCAAGTTAGGTTTTCCCAGGCGATGCGCCATTTTCGAGATGAAGTGACGAAACAAGTGAACTCCTCCACGGACACTGTTGATTCCGCTTCCAAGAGAAAACAAGAGCTTCAAATACTCGAGGTAAGCCGCACAATTTTTTCAAATAAAACATTTATGTACCTGTAAACATCGATAGCTCGGCGAGAGAAAGCGCTACCTCGAAACAAATGTTATTACGCCTTGATAATTTGACAGCGGTGACGTTCAAAAAAAAAAAAAAAAAAAAAAAAACTATACTTTCCTCAATGCTTTCTTTCCTCAGGCCGTCCGTACATTTAACATGCATGTATCGTTTCGTTGCCCAATATGCTTCGAATGAATGAAAAAAAACAACTGATTATCCCAAAAGAACATTCGTCAAGCGGCGCAAGGTGGCTACCAAAACTCTCGGCTGACCAGTCAGCTGGAGACATTTTTGGCCTCGCAGGAGTCGAACGCCCGTCTCGCGAGCGATTCGGGCGACGCCCGTGAAATCCTGGCCCTCTGCGCCCTCGATCTGAGCCTCACCTCAACTGTCCCCGAGTGCTCTTCCAGCAGTCTCCTGGACGTGGCGGCAAAACGCGTCAGGTCATTGGCAAGCCAGCTCGAGGGTGGCCGCCACGTGCATCACCTCGACGATCTGCAGCGACTCGTCCAGGAGCCCAAGCTCGCGAAGGCAAACAGCTCGATCCCGGGTTTGCTCTGCGATGCAAGGGTGTCGCTGAAGATTCAAGAGTGGAGAGAGAAAACGGAGTTTTGGCAAAGACTTTTGGAAAAAAGTAAGCTCTTCCAGGCGAGCCAGACAATTTCACAGATCGACGGGCTTGAGCGTGACGATGGCGAGACGTTGCTCGATGACATAGCTGAACTTTGCAGCAACAATCAAGAAAAACACCTGCACAAGATAATGGCGCATCTGCAAATTTTGCTCTCAATGGTTCCTAACGGTACGCTAACTCTTTTATTCGCAGAAAACAATTTCGTTTCAATCGAATCATTAAAATAAAATTAAAAATTTCTTTCAGATGAACGAGGCGCATTTACTACTGAGTTGTCTTTGTTGAGTAAATCCTTGAATGGCTACTTTGGGCATCAGATTTTCGATTTAAACATCGAGCCTGAGAGTCTCGATATCGTGGCCCATAAATTAGGAGTTAATTTAGTTCACAGTATATTAGTCAATTGCTGTCCAAAGCTCACCTGTTACGAATCGCTGCGCACTGCTGATAGTGATACATGGGGTTGCGTAGTTCTCAATAAATCCTTTAACAACAATAACAGCGTAAAGTATCTTTGACTTTTACATATTGTCAGTTTAATACATTTTTTATGACCGCTATGTTTATGTCGTTACAGGGTACGGTAGTACAAAAGCCGTTAGATCCTAATCAGTGTGTGACGAATATTTTATTAGAATTAATTCAAGCTATCGAACGTTTTTATCCGGATCGCGCGAGAATATCGAATAAGAATTTCGATAAATTGATCCACGATTCGGAAATTCAGCAAATTTTGAACAAAACAACACTTTTGCAATTTTTGGATCTAAGTGAATTATCGGATGGCGAACAAACAACGGCTTTTTTCTTAAATCTCTGGAATCTCTTATTTTTACATGCTCAGTTGAGTGTCTGGGCAATGGAACCTCCTTTTAACGCGCTCAGATATTTAATTTCGTTATCTTCAATCAATTATCACGTTGGAGACTTGGGACGCATTTCCTTAGCAACTCTAAGATCTAAGCTTCTGGGAGGTATGACGTGGGATCGACAATTCTTCTCACATACCGAAGACCTGAATGAAATAGCTTGGCAGGATCTGGATCTCGTTTATGATTCCCGAGTCATTTTTGCAATGGCAAATGAGTTTTCTGAAACTCCTGCGATTCGTGTAAGTTGTTTGTATTATTTTTACTTCAATGGTTGTAAATATTATTTCCATTATTATAATTATCGTATTAAAAATTTTCATAATTATTTTTCGTATTTTAGATTTATTCTCCGCAAACTCTTAATCAAGACTTAAACGAGGGTCTTCGTGATTATCTCAATTACTATTGCACAAGAGAATCTGAAATTGAAAATAAAAATAGCGATTCACATGAAGATACTCAAATCGTGTATTTACCAAAAATTGTAGATTACGAAAATTTTGTAAAAAGTAGCATCGTGAATTCACAATGTAGCAATACAACCAATAATGAATCGAGCCAAAATATTTCTTTTGTAAACAATTATGTTCGTGAGCATTTGATAAGTGGAACATCGGATATAACTGTTATCAACTACAAGCCAGTTACAAAATCTTATGATGTACTTTTAAAGTATGAAAAACACAATGTAACGAGATTCGAATTATCCGCAAAACGGAGCACGGATATCGATTGCCATAATGTGGAAAAGTGGTCCTCGAGATCTTTAAAATCAAATATTCTACATTATTTAGAAGGTCATTGCTGGCTGCTATCCTACCTTGTCAAGTGTTTGCATAACAAAGGCTCTCATACAATGGGCAATAGCTGTGATAACATAAAAAGGACTGCCTGTTTCGAAAGCATTTCCTCGTCTTCGTGGATATCTACTTTGGCTACCGTTTTGTTTGATGACAATCCAGTCCTAGCCGCAGTGTCGGAAAACCTATCGTTGAACGATCTGTGGATTTATTTAGAAAAATGTTTAAAGACTGACCGAATTCAAGACTGCCTTGACATTATCCAGGCCTTACCTAATAAATTTTTGATGAAATCCACGGAAATACAATATCTGAAGGATAAACTTCTCTGCGAATTAATTAACAGAATAGAGATAAACTCGGATACCGAAAAAAAGCTTTTACAGTACATTTATCAAATTAAAGACGTCAATACTCTGGCTCAAATGATACTTTTTAACATTCATAAGTGGCCTGTTTATCTATGCCAAGATGCTCTTTCCCATGCATTGCACCACGTCGATAAGGATAAGCTTCCATCTCATTGTAGGTTTAAAATGAATGAAACACTCTGCAGGGTAACCGTCTTTCATAAAATGCTGCCAAATTGCGAAAATAAAGATTTAAATTCTACGTGGCAAGATGTTCTGAATTACACTGAAAAAACTGATCCTGTTTGTATAGTCCAGTCCCTTGTGGAGGCTGATAAATTCGAAATATGCCTCGAGTGGTTGAAATACCAATCATTCACGTTGGAAATTCAATCTCTCGTTATGCAAGATTTGCTCATGGGTCTTTTAAAAAATGACAACGCAGACTTCAAAAACGCCCATAAAGTAAGCTACTTACGATTTTGCATGAATTTTACCTGAATGCTTTTTAAAATAATTTTTACAAAAAATTTTTCAGCTTTTAACAACTCTACCAAAGCGTCAGTCTATGAAATTATGCAAAGGTGTTCTCAAAAGACTGGAATCAATCAGGGCAATGAAATTTGTAGTGGGATATTTGATGGAAAATTGTGAAGCTCATAAAACGATAATATATCACAGACGATTTTTAGGCGTTGAAATTCTCGATCAGCTTGAACCTAAAGATCGTTTCCATTATGCCCATTTGATAAAGGAACCTTTCTTAATGCTGGAACAGCTGTTGATGAATTGTAAATTAAAAATTCTTTCCGTAATCTTAGATGTCATTCAAAAATCACCTAGTCTTCCAAAGTCTGGCATCACAATGGAAAGATTCGACGAATCAGTTAGATTTTATGCTGGAAAGGCTTTAGACTTTAGAATATCCTTGCAGCGAGACGGGATTGATTCTAAGCCTAAAGATGGCTCTTTAACGGCGTCTTTGAGTAGCGAAACAAAAACTACCGAATTCACAATGCCAATAAATGTGCCAACAAAAGAAGAATGGATTCCCAACGACAAGGTATGTATTATAATCTTTTATTTGCCGTTGCCTGTTGCATGCCAATATTAATAATAAAAATAAGTACTTGTACGAAAATTGAGATTCGCTTGTCTTACAGGCTAGAGAATGTAATTCGTGCAAGGTCGTGATATTCTCGATGTTTAATCGCCGTCATCACTGCCGTCGTTGCGGTCGAGTCGTTTGTGCCGCTTGCTCCCAGCAACGCATGCAGGTTTCTGGTTATCCTAAATCGGTGCTTGTGCGCGTCTGCGACGACTGCAAGCAAGCAACGGCACTACAGACGCAAACAGCCCAAGGTACGCCCTCGATCGCAAACAGCATCGCGTCCTCGGACTCCTGGAGACTGACAACCGACGAAACGCACAACAAATCTGTTCGCGAAGAATTTTCATTCGAGCATGCGCCTAATGTATCCATGTGCCTGTCCATCATGAGCCTGCATTCGGATCACAAGGCTTATGCAAGGTCGGTGTAAGCTGCAATATAAATTTACCATTGCATTGAAAACAAAAAAAAGGAACGTTTCAATCAAATGATGAAATCAATTTTGTTACTCGTAGTTTTATGCTCGACCACTGTCATGAGATGAAAAGACTGCTACAGCCCGGGCCAGGTGGACGTATCAACCCTGAAATCGATCACACCCTCATCATCAAGATGATCAGATCCCTACTAATAGCCGTGAAAATGAAGTGTGCTAAGCTCGGTTGGAATGCCGGGTTGGCGCACTGTGACCGTTTTCTCTCCCAAGTGGACTTGATTGCCACTCTTGTGCAGTCCGACTGCCTCGCTCTCATTCCTACGGACGACAGTCTGGACGAGCACGTACTCAGAAAATTACGGGATCTGCTGACCGAGAAGGAACAATGGCAACTTGCGCTCGATGTCAGCACCAAGGCTGGACTAGACACTCAAGGAGTTTGGGCTGCTTGGGGAAAAGCTTATTTAAAGGTGTCGTTTAACATGAATCGTACAGTTTATTTTTATATTTATTGTCTCGTTTTTTATTAATTTTTTGATTTTGTTTTACAGGCTGGTCATTTTGATCGCGCTAGAATCAAGTTTTCTCACTGTCTAGAAAAGGTATTGTACGAAAATCTTAGTGATTGGGTCATTTTAACGTATCCTGAATCTGAAAACAAAGGCAATGAAAATTTGCTTGAAACGTTTGGACAGCCAAAATCTGAAGATTCGCCAAACCGAGGACGTCAGGCGATAAAAAGCCGACCAATCAAGGATCCTCCTCTAGTTGTCGAAATCTTACAAATTTTAGAAAACCAAAGACAACTTAATCCCAACGATTCTCAGAGCGCGATTCAGTCCAAAACAGCTGTAGCGCAAGAAATTTTGACAACTCTCAACAGTCTAAAGTCTGTCAGTCAAGGTCAATTTTCTCTTGTTAACAATTGGAATTCGCGTAACGTATACTACGAAGAAAGCTTGCACTATTTGCTAAATTACGCAAGTTTCTCCTCCATCCTTGAGTTTTACATAAAATACGAAGAATTCCAAAAGTGTCTGGACTTTATATTGGAGAACAACGTTGATCCCGAGCTGTTTTTCAACAGTATATACATTCGCTGTCTAAATGTTGGGAATATTGAAAAACTTCTTGGTGCTATGAGGGCCAATGATCCAAGCCTTCTCATGTACAAAAAATATCTAGTCTACACATGTCATAGTCTGGAGAAAAAGCAATTTTTGCATACACTGTACCATCTGCAACTATACATGCAAGATTTTATTCGAGCAGCTATGGCATGCTTTCGTTTTTACACCCAGGACGCTCGCGATTACGTTGATTTGTACTCGAAATCACACTTTTTAGTAGAAGCTCAAAAACACTTGGAAACTGAATTAAATGTCTACAACAAAAGTGTCAGCTCGTCCCTCAGTACATCACATGGTGGCCTTACAATGGAAATGGAGCCTTCAGAGATAGATAAGCACATCAATACGATATCCAGACAACTTGAAATCGTCAAATTTTTAAATCATGCCGAAAAAGAGGGTCGGCTTGTTGGACCTTACCTCCAGCGCTTGCTCGCTCTCGATACGGAAAGCGTTCATTGTAATGAATTACCAACGTTATTTGGAAACCAACAGCAGAAAACGCGACTGGCTGTTTTAGCTATGCTATGTGGACGTAACATAGAGGAAGGCTTCGGAATTGCCTTTAGAATAATGCAAGGTTTTCATTTTTTATTATTTAAAATAATGTTTGGAATTTGTTTTGTAGTTGTTAACATGTGCTAAAGTTAAAAGAAAAAATATTTTTCAGATTACAATTTGCGTCCCCAGAAGGTATATTCCGTAGCTGGTCATGTTCTGGCATTGGAAAAAAAAGTACTTTTCATAGAGCAGTTGACCAAGTGCGTGATAAGCTCGGGTGCGCCCGATTCTAAACTGATATCTGATCGCGTTTTAAGCCACTGTGTAAAGTTATTGCTGCACAATTTCGAAGCAGAGATAGATTTAGAATTTAAAGATAAGATCGATTGTTTGATAAGATTAATCAGTGACGTTGAGCTGAAGGTATAATTTTTCATTTTATTATATTTAATTTATAAAAATAAAAAAAAAAAATTTTAATTTGTAATTATTCTCGCAGATAAATTCGTACATCGAAAGTAAACAGTTGAAAGCTGCTTACCTCTTGGCTGTTAAGCTGAAAAAACCAATCGCTCAAGAAAAAATTAGAAAAATTGCGAAAGAAGCTGATAGACTCGGTCAGACTCCGGTGTGCGCAATTTGTAATAAATGGTTGAGTAACGGTTCTTCGTAATCTTCTTTCGTAAAAATTTGTGTATGACATAAAAACNAGCGCCAGAGATTGCCGATTCCGGTATACCTATACAAAAAGATCGAGAATAAGAGAGTTACCTCTTTCTCTCTCTTTCTTCGCGGTGTACATATACGTATAGACTAGAACATCGCCACGCGGCGCCACACCCCGACCGTGCGTACTTCTGTAGGTATAGGATAAATTAATGTATAAATTATGTAAAAGGGCTTACGGCCAATCAGAACAAATAATATATTTCTATCAATAATAAGTGCCTAAATTACTAAACTTTTTCATATTGTCACCTTTATTGTATTACGTACGAATTATTGACCAAATTACCTCTATTCGATGTGTCAAATATTAGATCAACTTCTTTTTTGATTATTTAATTTTTTCACTATACTTTTATTTTGTTAATTTTCAATGTTTCATAGGTGAATAGGGAAACTAAGAGGTTTTTAAAGCCTAATAGCTTAATTTAAATCCTCGGGGAATAAGGCTGTTTTTCGATGTATTTAAAAAATTTTTTTTCTGTTATCAGGACCAATAGTTGACAGATTTCATTTTTTTGTGAACCTGATTTCTTTACAAAAGTTTAAGAGTCGTTATATTTTTTTCTTATATTAACTATTGTTACCACAAAATATACGATTCTCCCGTCTGTTATTCTGAGACGAGAAAGAGAGAGAGAAGGCAACCGAATAAATCGGTAAACATAACAAACAGTTGCGTATACAATGACGATACATTAATTGCCCTTAATCGATCGACGTACGAAATTTCTTTTTCGGTATCTTATTTATCAATAACTGTACTGTTCTACGATCAATTCGTGGTACCATGAATACGAGCCGTGGATTTTAAAAAAATTATTTTTGTAAAAAAAAGTTTGTAATTTTTGGCTCTCAAGTTGTATAATACTATAGATACACACGTATAAATGTACCTTACGGTGGAACTTGATTAAAAAAAAATGTTTTTCTATTTACCTTGAAAATCATGCGCGTAAACAAAAATTATATTTTCATTGAGTACCCGTTTTGCTCGTGCCTCAAAGCATCTTCACTTCCTACTAGTAGAAGTATATATGCCACTTGCATGCAAAATAAAAAAATGTTGACTTTTGATAATGAAAGGAAAAAATTTGAAAATATGTGGCATTTTTTTTTTTTTTTTTTTTCCATGTATGACACACACTTTTGGCGTACTTTGTTCCGTAGTATGCGAAAAAATATTTGAAACAGTAATTTTCTAAACAGAAGCGTTATCGCCACGGAAGCTGTTTTTCGACGCCAGGGTAGCCCCGATTGGATGGCGCTTGTGTGTCGAACACTATATTTTTCCTATACCGAGGGCGCAGTAAATGTTCAAAAGTCACGAGTCACGAAAAACGCCCCGAGGTAGGAAAAATTCTCTTCACACCTGGTGCGCATATCAAACCAAGGCAAGCCTATGGAATGAAAAAATGTATTTCATCGTTTTAAATGCTTATATACGTGAGATAAATATTTGAAGAAATTTTTTGCGTGGAAATCCCCTATAAGAAATTTAAAGTGGTTTGAAACACGGGAAAGCTCACGGGAAGGAACACTCATAGTAATCTCATCAGTCACTAAGTCGTCATTTTTAGAAATCAATTTTAGCCACCACCCAATTAGTAAGAATATATATATATATATTTCTAATAATCGTACGATGTCAGCTAGTGTATTTGGTTACTAGCTATATGTATATAGGTCTGATAATAAATACACCTATTAGTGGCTACTTTGGGCATCAGATTTTCGATTTAAACATCGAGCCTGAGAGTCTCGATATCGTGGCCCATAAATTAGGAGTTAATTTAGTTCACAGTATATTAGTCAATTGCTGTCCAAAGCTCACCTGTTACGAATCGCTGCGCACTGCTGATAGTGATACATGGGGTTGCGTAGTTCTCAATAAATCCTTTAACAACAATAACAGCGTAAAGTATCTTTGACTTTTACATATTGTCAGTTTAATACATTTTTTATGACCGCTATGTTTATGTCGTTACAGGGTACGGTAGTACAAAAGCCGTTAGATCCTAATCAGTGTGTGACGAATATTTTATTAGAATTAATTCAAGCTATCGAACGTTTTTATCCGGATCGCGCGAGAATATCGAATAAGAATTTCGATAAATTGATCCACGATTCGGAAATTCAGCAAATTTTGAACAAAACAACACTTTTGCANTTTTTTTTTTTTTTTTTTTTTTTTTTTTTTTTTTTTTTTTTTACGAGCTACCGTGAGGGTAAAAATTTTGACCACACATACATTGTTTGGGTTAATTCGAAATCCAATAGAATTTATCCCTACAAAGTAAATAATGTATTAGGTTTATCGATTTTGTCGACCCTTCCATTAGCGAGCTTTCAAGCTGGCAAGCCTAAGGTGACGAATTCAAAGTGTGTAACACACACACTTGGACGTATACTTGTCCAAGTCAATATTTCGATGGCAATTACCGACCAACATCACTTTTATCATATTTTCTTGTGAATTTCAATTAAAATGAATAAATCATGGTTATTTGAAATTACGAATTTCCAAAAAAAAGTTGTATAAATAAGGCGTGTACCAATGTGTGTTCATATTACCATTTTTTTACCGATCAATATTTTGAAGGATCGTCATCAGAGCAAAACAATATTACAATGATAAATGATATACATGGAATATAATTAAAATCACACGTATGTGTCAGATGCATGGCGTATAATCATAAGATCGGTATAAAGTCAGCCGCGACAAACGCAGACGATGAGTCGATGACGCGTCGCGTGTGCCTTATTAGCTCATGCCCCGTAACGAGAAGGAACGTAACAAACGAGTACGTGTCATTGGTAAAAAATTTGTCGGTAAAAACAAACACCTATACTTACATATACCTATACCAGATTCCGCGAAGCGGTAAAACGTCGTCATGTAGAGAGTAGCGCGTGCATGTGTGTTATTTGCCTATTTTTTAGCTACTTAAGTATACCTTGTGGGAAGGGTTCGCTTAGAAACATCAGAGAGGAAGAGGAAAGGAGCGCCAGAGATTGCCGATTCCGGTATACCTATACAAAAAGATCGAGAATAAGAGAGTTACCTCTTTCTCTCTCTTTCTTCGCGGTGTACATATACGTATAGACTAGAACATCGCCACGCGGCGCCACACCCCGACCGTGCGTACTTCTGTAGGTATAGGTATATACGTGTGCATATACACTCGGTCCGCGACCACCACCTACTTCCTGGCCTGGCCGCTAGCCAAGTAAGAAAGGAACGTCCACGCAAGCGATAGTTCAACTCCGAGTGTCGTCGCGTCAAGACTGCCGATCTTGCGTACCGCACGCATTAGTATATTACGTTACGAGGCCGTAAAGTGGCTGATGTGATTTTTTTTTCTTTTTTACAATACTGTGATTTAGGTGCTTTTTGAATCGACTAGCTTCGACATACATATAGGTATATAGTGTACATATTATAGGTACCAGCAGGTGTTGTCGAAAAGTGGATTATCCGCGTAGTGCTTTGATTTAAGTATGAACCGTTAGTGAAACGATGCGCTCGACGGAACACCAGTCATTTTGTATTCTCTTTTTGTTCCGATCAAGTTTTTAGTTTTGTAATGTTAAAGAAAAAAAAAAAAAAAAAAAAAAAAAACCCGATGAAAATGATTTGACATGTTTCGCTATCGGAAATACACCCCAGAGATAATAATGAATTAACTTTATCGATTTTTTTTTTTTTAACCGTCATAACAGTGTAGTAAATAATTCACACTCCACGTGTACGTAATATGGTACAAGGTCTCCAAGTTAATCTAGAAAATTACTTTTGCAGGAATACCATTGGAAGTATAATTATCATGTCTGGCGAGGATTTACGTTTTCACATGGTGAGCATGCAACATTAATTCATTACGTACTATAGAACAAATTGTATATATAACTATAAATTTAAAGTAGCGTATTTTTCTCACTTTGGGTGAAAGCGCGAGTATGGTGATGTGCACGTATACGTAATTGTGTGACGAGCAAAGAGATGTGAAAAAAGCTAAGCTGTCGCGACTGATTCCGAGCAATTGCCGGTTCTCTCTCTATTTATGTGTGTGTCTGTGCGTCTTATACATTTAACGAGGCTTTTGGTGTTGTTAATCTTTTAGAGTGCGAACATAATGTCCATCATACGGCACTGAAACACTCTCGTTCTCCGGGAATTGCACCAACAACAGACGTACCGACGCGGCTAAATATACAACCTTTTTTACGATAGTATCCTCCAGCCTCATAATCATGTGGAATCTCTTCATCGTCATATCGAGCTCCAAAAATAATCGTGGTTATCGGCGCACTCGTTTACCAAAACCTACATTACAGGAGAATCGCATCGATTGAAAATCCTATGAAGCGTCTTCCTGCCGATTTCGCGTCGAAAAAAAGGCTGCACCAATAGACCAAGATAGTAATATAAGGTGAAACACGCGCGACTCTTGATGTAAAAAATGATGAGCGTGGTGATGATCCACATTGGGGCACGGGACGCAATAACATTATACAGCCTCTTACTGTCAATGTACACATATAATAATACTTATGATTGGCAACTTGCTGTTTAAACTTAAAGTTTTAGACGGAGAAAAATGTACGTCATTTACCGAAATTATATCATCGTGTGTGGTAAACTACTACTTTGCTCTGAAATAAAAAAAGAAAAAAGAAAAAAATCCAGTAAAACAGAGTAAGTAAATTGAAAAAAAAAAAAAAAAAAAAAAAAAAGGAGTCTGCGAGTAAAAATAAAGAAAGTGCTTTGTTACTCGTGCATTTTCTTTGTGCCCGCGTCTTCTTTGTGCCGAGATTTGATAAGTGACTTTGTTTTCTTCCAGTAAGGGTAGAATAGATGTAGCACCTTCGAAAATAATCGGTATAACAGGATACAATTTTTCATTTGTAGAATTAGTCCTTTTAACTAATGTATTGCAACTTATTCAAAATTTGTTTTAANAAATTATTCTCACCGACACCGGCATCACCTCGTCAGCAGTTTTTGTTTCGAATCGACTGTACCGATTGAAACGCACGTACACAGCGCGCCTTTTCCATATGCAATGTTACAAAGGTATATTCATATTTTCCCTCGTTTCTCAATAATTTATGCAAAAGCACAGCTCGCACTAATATCCAAATAACAACAACAACAACAACAACGACAACAACAACAACAACAACGACAACAACCACTCTGCAAATAAAAAAATAAGTCGAGAAATTGCCTTTTTTTTTTCTTTCTTCCGTAACCATAAATATGTATAGGTAATAAATGCATATACGGCCATCAACAAAATAGCGCACTCACGTAGAGAACGATTGAACCGGCCGTTAGGAGCGTCATCGCGCCACACCAATAAATACTGCCACGCCATCCACTTGACTTGTATGATATAATATAGCGTTGAGTAAAAAAAGAAACTCCAGATATTTTGCATCAGCGACACGCCAATCGTTGAAAAAATGATCCTCGCGAAAGCTATACGCGTATACGTATAATGTTGTTGTACTATGTATACCTATTAAATATTGTTAAAACTACGATTGCATGACGCGTAATAAGTTGTGCCTATATGCGATGAAAAAACATTGTTATTTCTTTCGCACTAAAGGCTCGAAATATGCGATGGAAAGCTTTTTCAACGCTGCTCGGAGATCGGAGATTTTACGGCACGTCTCGCATAGAAGAGGCAAGGGGCTAAGAGCTCGATAAATGTATATTTATTGGGTTTCGCTTACGGTAGAGGGACGAATAACTGTTTTCTTTGGTGTACCGAGAAAAAAAAAACCATAGTCTGATCTTTGATGACGAGTACCTCTCGATATAACAATAAAAAAAAAAAAAAAAAAAAAAAATTACATCTGTATCCCAACCCATAACTTTATCAACTTTTGATGAGTATATAGTTCAACAGATACGACTATGAATACCCGTCCATTCATTTTTAGTGTTAATGATCGAGCGCTCGAGGCACGTCGGCATGTACAAGATAATAAATGAGCTAAGCCTACCTCTACACGGACATAATATACATATATATTTTTAATAATGACTGCGTGGCACCTGCCTTCATTTAGAAAACAAATGCTTACAATGCACGAAAAAAAAAAAAAAAGAAAATTTTGAGAACTTTGGAAATAGTAAGTCGCCGACTATAAGTCTATGTATGCAAGGCGCCGTGCAAACTCGCGCGGTACTTTGCAACCTCGGCCTTAATAATCAAAGTCTCGAGCGGTTCTTCGAAGCTCGGGGCATCTCCGCCAAATGTATGACAACACGTAGTATAGGTATATTCGGAGGATCGATTTCGCGCTTCTATTATTATTTAGATAAATCGACGCGTGAAAAGTCGTATGTATAATTTGTATATTCTAGTCGCACGGGATTGTTTAGCAAGAGGTATTATACTAAGAGTTAGTTTGAGCGAAATGAATATAATGAATATGAGTCGAAGGAAGGAAAAGTGACGAGAATTATAATATGTGCCACAGTGCCAGCCGACGGTGTACCCGGCCGATCCGTTCGAGCCGGAGGAGGACGCGAAGACGCTGAGGGAGGCGATGAAGGGCTTCGGGACCGACGAGACGGCCATAATCGACGTGCTGGCGCACCGCGGTATAATGCAGCGCCTCGCTATAGCCGACAAGTACAAGGCGATGTTCGGCAAGGACCTCATCTCGGATCTCAAGGGCGAACTCGGGGGTAATTTCGAGAACGCGATTGTCGCCATGATGACCCCCCTGCCCGAGTTCTACGCCAAGGAGCTCAACGACGCGATCAGCGGCATCGGCACCGACGAGGAGATCATCATCGAGATCCTCGCCTCCCTCAGGAACATCCAAATCGTCGCCGATGTCTACCGAGACAGTAAGTTTTTTTTTTTTTTTCATACCCATATACGTATCAAATATAATACTGTGCACCCAAGTATATGGGCCTTTTTTTCGTCACATCATTCGGTGCTTGAGTCAATTTCACAAAACCTCATAATCGCGCAGCTATTAATATTCCGGAAATTCATCCAATTGAAAAACAAAAGTTTTGTTGGCTTGGAAAAAAATAAATAAATAAATTGCGCTTTAGAGTACGGCAACGATCTCGAGAGCGACATCATGAGCGACACCTCGGGCCACTTTCAGCGCCTGCTCGTCTCCCTTTTGAGCGTAAGTACAAGAAACCTACCAATTAACATACTTAAAAAACAATAAAACAAAACAAAAAAAATCGGTATGTATCGGCAGGGAGGTAGGAGCACCGACCTTGGCGTGGACGAGGCGGAAGCGACCAACGACGCGGAGCAGCTCATCGCGGCTGGCGAGGGTTGCTGGGGCACGGACGAAAGCGTCTTCAACTCGATCCTCGTGACCAGGAGCTTTTCCCAGCTGCGCAAAGTCTTTGACGAGTACGAAAGGATCAGCGGCACCGACATCGAGGACGTCATCAAGAGCGAGTTCTCCGGTAGCCTTCAGGAGGGGTACATCGCCGTCGGTTCGTATTTATTATGTGCATTATACATATATCGTTAATCAGCAAATTGACGATTAAGCGTGACGTGATTGTTTTTTTTTTTTTTTTTTTTAACGCGTTCGCAGTGCGTTGCGTCCGAAACAGAAGCGTCTACTTTGCCAAGAAGCTGAAGCACGCGATGTCGGGCATGGGTACGAACGAGAAGACCCTCATCCGGATAATCGTGGCGCGATCGGAGATCGATCTTGGCGACATAAAGGAAGCTTATCCGAGCATCGCGGACGGAAGGCAACTGGCTGACGACATTGCCGTAAGTATACATCACGAGGCTTTTTTTTTCTTCTGTTGTTTGGTTGGAGAAAAATGGAAAAGGGACATATACTTACACGTCGGTACTTTGAAATCGGACTTGGCTATCACTCGACGGTACGGGTATAAAACGCATACTTGATAACCAGGGGTGATGGCAAACATTTAGACAATACTTACAATACACGTATACAACAATTTACTGTATAATTACAGTTTTTCATTACTACGTGGTCATGCAATAACACGATACATATTTATATACTGCAACCACACACGTGTATTATCAAAAATTAAAAACATACTTTTTATTGGTAATATTGGCAGAGCTACAAAAATACGTATTTCCGAATAGCTAGGAAAGTTTCATTCGAAATGTTATCTACTTTCCTTGCGAGACATCATTTGAGATAATTCTTTATTTCAAGCGAAAAATACAGGGGATATAATTTTTTTCAGCAAAATAGGGGATATTTTTTATTTTATTGTTTAAGACTTATAAAAAAAATAATTCTTCGGAAATACGTATGTTTTATTATCTCGTCGACTGATCGTATTTTTGCTCAGTAACACCCTTCGACTAAAATAACTTCATAATATCAAAGTCGAAAATTTGCCATCTCTATAGGTATACCAATCAACATTTGCATTCCAAGTATTAAAATATTTTTAACTTCAAAGTGCCGACGTACGAGCTCCTTTTTTTTTTCCTCTACGTACAGCATTAAACGAGGGTACTTTTTTTTAATTTTTTTTTTAACTTCTTGATTTATCTTTCACTCAGCACTTGTACTAATAAATTTATGACATTAACATCTACCACTGTGTACCTTTACCTATTGCGCCATTGCACAATAACACTCGTGGATTAATTTCAATCGATTTCAGGACGACTGTTCGGGTGACTTCAAGAAAGTCTTGCTTACTCTTCTCTTCTGAAAACTGCAACGATTGTTCCGAAAAAAAAAAAAAAAAAAAAAAAAAATCAACACTCCTGCTTCTCATTATATTAAATTATGTTGAATCACTTAGTTAATTTGGTTTCCATTGTTTAACATGATGTATTTTATCAGTATTGTTGTATTATTACATAAAAATTAGCAAACACATCAGCCACGTGTGCGCATACACATGTGTATACATATATTATAAATACATATACGCATGTTGTGCGTACGAACTACATATTATGCTCACACGTACATGGTACGCGGGATATTATATATTATTTATGTATGGACCACCTTTTTGTTCATTTATATGCGCATGTATGTTAATTAATTTGTTTTCCATCATTGCTTACTTTGTAAATAAATAAACGAATCTCCTCCAATAGTTCCTGTCTGTTTTATTGAGCTATAAATATGAAAAAAGGGATGGCTGCTGTATGCGATGCTACGCAACTACTTTTATGCTTACTCCAGATGGTGTGTGCGTGTATCTATTATACGTACAACAATAAACATGACGACAGCTCGGAAGGCTTGAGTCGTATATATACGCGTAATCACTAAAGTCGTAAGAGCTAAATGCAGTCAAGTTGAAACGTATATATTGATCACAGTTTGTTTGAGTTATGACGTCCCTGGTTAATTACTTTTCTTGTTTTATACTTTATTTATTTAATCGATATTAGTTCAAAAAAATTTATCAATACAAAAAAAATCTGTTAAAACCAATTTTTCATACTGTACACTATTTTTTCGAAAATATAGGATCAAGAAATAATTATTGTATCGGATACAATAGTAGTTTTCCTACGAGTTTGAAAAGTCTCTGTTTGCGAACCGAGAGGTTTGCGGCCCGAGCCGAAGGCGAGGCCCTTAACGAGGTTCGTAAAGGAGACTTTTCGAACGAGTTCTGGAAAACTGCTTTTTCGCCCGAGGAAGTACCAGCCTCCCAAAACCACCCGAGGGCGGAAAACTGTTTTTTCGCCCGAGGAAGTACCAGCCTCCCAAAACCACCCGAGGGCGGAAAAGTTTATTTATTCGAAAACAGTGAAAAATCTTTTATGCAAAACTAATTCAAAAACATACTAGTATTACATTTTACGTAAATAATGCGAAAGTTTTGTTTATTGTTATGAAATATTTTTCACAGTAATAGTAGGTACTTAAAAGTTGCATAAAAAACACAATCGCTTAGAATTTTGTGGTTTATGTAGTTTGGTCAGTCATATAGATGCAATACATGTGTAATACTAATGCATCATTATTTGTTAACGCAATCATGCATGAGCTAAATAAAATAAAACTATGTGATAAAATAAAAATAAAAATAACCAATCATATCAAAAGCAACGAAAAATCAAGCTTTGTACTAAAAAATCAGACAGAAACCAATTAAAAAATTATTTTCGAAATATTTTCCAGGACGATTGCGACGGTGAAATGAAACGACTCCTGACTGCACTAGTGTATTAATCATTAATGTGCCTTTCAAGATTAATGAGCATCACACTCTAATTTACCTATAAATTCTCAAACATGCGTAGAACCAAAGCCAAATTTTACATAAAAGTTTCCACATCTTCTTCATCTATTTATAAACGCACTGTTACTTAAAAATAAAAAAATTACCATAGTTTCATATTGTACTTTTTTTTTTCAACAGCATAGATTACTCATTTTCTTTTACTTTTTATCGAAATCAATGAGTCATAAGAAATTATATTATTGAACGTCTCACGGATGTCTTAGATACCTATGGTTAAATTTTTACAGAACGATGTGGAAGACCAGCGGAAACGCATGTTGATAGCTTTGCTGAATTAAGGTATTTATCCATGATCAACGGATGGAAGAAAGCTCTCTCAACTCTATGATTAAACGCATTTACGTGTATGTTAAACTAACGGTAGTATTAAACTTTCAAAAATTCAATGTCATGGTAATTTTAATAAACTTTATATATATATATATGTATTTTTTAGTATATGGGCCTTTTTTTCGTCACATC